GATAGTCCACCATTCTATCTAGCCCCTAAACAGTATAGGGTAGGCAAAAAACCCTCCCCTTGAAATAAGAAGGGAAAAAATTCCTACCCGGTTCCATAGGCAACCTAAATTATACTGTTGATGGGCGGGAGTGGTGGGCAGCTTCCAGGGTCAGAATGAGCCTGGGTGGGGGCTGGCTTGTACAAACAGGCCACGCCCCCTAGTCCTCTGGAAGGTTCCATTGGAACCCATCCCTGCCTCGTGGGAGGCAGACAAACCATTTTCTCTCTCCCCATTTCACGGGGAGAGGAAATTTATTGTCTGCCAACCCCCGAAGTAAAGACTCACGAATAAAGACACAACAACCAAGTCAATGGGTTCAAATTGGGCAACTTTTATTTAACGTTACCTATTTAAGTGCTTAACCTAACTCAAAGGGGTGTCGGGAACTGGTATAACAAACCCAGGTAGAATCACTACCCAATCTTAAGACAACAATTTTCGGGCGAAGCACCTGGGTTTCCTGGTAATAACCCCGGACCACCAAGCAAGGGAAATGAGTGAGGAGTCTCTTCTAAAGATCTTGCAGCCTGACTCCTCTCATTTCACGGCCATTTGACTTCACTTCACCTTTTAACTAAACAGTAGGTGAGTGTTTAACTTAATGGCCTATCACCCCTTAAGGGGGTGCCTTAGGTGCACACCGACTAAAGGATTTCCCTAACTATTTTACGCCACGGATTGGGGGCAAATGTCTATTTCGCCCCCATCCCCCACCAATTCCTCCAACACCCCCTGGATACCTTGCTGTAAATCTGCTAAAAACTGTTGGTTGCCCAATTCGGAAAGGTGCACTCCGTCCACTCGATACAATCTCTCATTCTCTCGAGTGATGGCTACGTGCTCAATGTAATAGCCTCTCTGACGAATCATAAACATTCGCATGGCCCTGTTTACTCTCTTTCTGGCTCTCTCAAGCCTCCGCACGTCGCCTCCTCCCAACCACCTGCGACGTGGAATAATGGCCGACCATGCAATGTGCACACGGGGCCATGCCCGCCAAATCTTTTGGATATCTGCACGTGCTTGTAGGAAGAGTGCTTTCCCCGTCAACAAGCCCAAGTCGTTACCACTGAGGTGGATAACTAAAACATCAGGAGGTGGTCCGCTCCTGGCACTAAACAACAAGGGGCACAAACCGTACCAACGCAGGCCTCTCACGCCTCTCCATTCGACCGTCGCGATGGAAGCGAGACCCAAATGCTGGCCATAGGCAGTCTTAAGGGCCTCTCTTTCCGCCCAGAAGACAAAACTGTGTCCGCACACCAGGACCCTTCTCCTATGCGCCAGCCCTTTTACTCCATCAACCCGGTATAACCTTTTGTCGTCCCGGGTGATGCCTGGATGCTCTATGTCATGACCCCTTTGTCGGATCATGAACCTTCGCATGGCCATGTTCACATGTTTCCTGGCTCTCTCTAGCCTCCGCACGTCACCTCCTCTCAACCACCTGCGACGTGGTATAATGGCCGACCAAGCGATGCGGACACGGGGCCATGCCTGCCAAATCTTCCGCATATCAGCATGCGCCTGTAAAAAGAGCGCCTTTGCCGTTAACAGGCCCAAATCGTTACCACCGAGGTGGATCACTAACACATCAGGAGGTCGCAAGCTCCTGGAATCAAACAACAAGGGGGCACAAACCGTCCCAACACAGGCCTCTTACGCCTCTCCATTCGACAGTTGCGATGGACGCGAGACCCAAATGCTGGCCATAGGCAGTCTTGTGGGCTTCTCTTCCCGTCCAGAAGACAAAACTGTGTCCACACACCAGGACCCTCTATCTATGTGCCAGCCCAACGTGACCAATGATAACAATAACTATAATGAAACTGGACGTACGTAACTCTTAAACGCGCTGGACCTCCATCTGCCTAAGGCCTTAATTTTTTCCTCTTCATATCCCATTGCTGATGCTGATGAGGCCACGCCAATCCTAAATGAGTGTGTGTCGAATTTAAGGTGTCCCATCCCCAGAAGGTCCAGTGCTTTGGTTGTAACTGTCCAAAACTGATTAATTGGTCAGCGGTGTTCCGTCCTGATGACGGAACAGGTAACTTCCCTCCGTGCCCCTGAGTGCCGTAAATTGCGCCATAGCTGAAACTGGGCACAAATCTTCTTCCCCGCATCTTAGCAGGCTGATCACCTGACCCTTTAGCCCCCTGATCTGTTTTTGAGGTTCTGATTTTGATTTCAATTTTATCTTGGAAAACCTTAACATCAGAAACGAGCAGAGCGCGGTGTGAGGTATCAGACTTGGATAAAGACACCCATTCACTCACACGAAGGGCTGCAAAAAATGCCATCAACACTGCTGCATGAAACAAAGCCTGCTCGTATAGTGATGCGCACAAACGGGGCCATATTTGCCTAAGTCACTTAAGAATTGTAGGTGTCAAAGGCTGGCGGTCATCCTTGGGATGCCCGCACTGCCTAGACCATCCGGCTATAATTTTGTGGATGCGAAAGTCGTCAGTGGGATCGCTAAGGCCCTGGGCCTTAAACCAATATGCGAGCGCTGACAACTTTGATTTGATGGATTGTGGGGCCAAACCTCTCCTTTTGTGGTAAACACAAAACTGAGCCAAGTGCTCATAAGGCACCGGCATGGACTCGGGTAATTTATAATGCTGCCTAAAGTGTCCCTCAAAGCAAACTCCAAACCCTGTGGCGCCTGAAGTGTCCGATGAGACTTGTAAAGCATTCTTAACCATCATCTCCTGTCGCCAAAACGAAACTCCATTAAATTGGCGAAGGAATTGTAGCCAAATGAACAAATCAGACTTTATAGCTAGCGTTATCCTAATGTGATGGTGGGGCATGGCTACACCCGAGATAGCATCACAAAGTCTGCGAAGAAACGCCTGGAAAATTGATTAACTGTATCTAATTCTATCCCCAAAAAGGTCAAAACCGTATGGGGACCTTCCGTTTTTCCTCAGCCAGAGGCACAACGCCGCAGCAACCGCACTGCTGAATCAAAAGATGTGTAGCTTACTGAGCATTGCTCATCGGGAATGGCGTCATTCACAGAGCCCCCTCTGGGGTAAGACAAATGATGAATGAGGCGATATTCACCGATGGCTTTTTTGGGCACTATTCCCAACGGGGAAAACCTAAACTGAGGCGTGGGGGGTGCAGAAAATGGTCCCAGAACCCTGCCCTCCTTTACCTCTTTATCTATTTTTTGTTTGACCACTGCCTCCAAGCCTATAACAGATTTCAAATTAGGAGATAAACAGGGGGAACGCGGCCCAAGGGCCGGAATCCGGAAACCATCCATAAAGCCACGAAGCAAATAAATTGCCTCAGCTCTGTCAGGGTATATTTCCAGCCAACCACTAAGAGGACCCACCTTGACTGGGCTGGGGCCCTTTCTGGACATTAGCCTGGGCAGGGTTCTTTCTATGAAACTGGGCGTCCCTTGGATTAAATCTTGCGGGCTTTCCTTTATAACAGGTCTTAGCTGCGTGATTAACCTGGCATATTGTACAGGCGTGTTGAAATCTGCAGTTCTTGCGGGAGCAAGCTCCCTGCGCCGCATATTCCCGGCACATATGCTTTTGTCTTTGTGGCTGTTATGCTGGGCCTCCTTGCCGAAAGGGCTGACCTCCCCTAGTGTTTTGGATGGTGTGGCCACTACCGGCCTTCTCACCAGAGACGATCTGGTTGTATTCATTACCTCCATCCACAGCTGACTATCAATGAGGTCCCATCGCTTATTAGGCATCGTGGCAGCCTCAGCACGAAAGCGGCTATCATAAACCAGCCACGCCTGACCGGAGTAATTAACATATGCCCCGTAAATTATATTTTGATATTTAAACAGGGACTTAGCCCTATATGGATGAGCCTCAACTATCAAGGATGCATAAATGGTGTAGCAAGCTATCCAGTTTTTCCAATTTTGTTGCACCCTCCTCTTCTTTAATTTTTCTTTGCGTTCCTCATCCAGATCCTCTTTTTCCTTCTTCTCTAATTCTCTAAAGTATACGGAAAAAATATCTATATATTCATTCCTGAGGATCTTATCAATGGTTTTTTGAGACAGATGGGCCCCTAGAGAGGCCGAGGCCGCCGTAGAAATTATCGGCAGAACCCATTTGTCAGTTCCCCAAAATTGGTTGGCCTCCCCCATTCTAGCCACTTCTAGGGATATTGGGGCCACAGCAGTGTCATAGGAAACGGCCTTAATGACCGAAACCCCAGGTGCAGCCGGTGCTGAATCCGTGTGAGTAAGTGATGTAGTTTGCGTCTGATTTTGGCCCCAGGGCCAAACCAGTGTGGTGCTGTTACCTGTAGATGTGGAGGGTCCCTCCGGGACAGCAGGTTGCGAAGAGGGGTTGGTCGACACCATGATTTCAGGCGTGGAAGGTTGACTCTGACGTGCTGGAGCACTGGGTCAGCCGGCTTGGGCGTAGATGTCGCGGCTGGCCTCGCTGTCGGCACTTGACCAGCTGTTGCAGTGCTCTGCGGTTCCGCTTGGGCCACCATGGGCCCAGTTGTTATCGTTGAAGTCGCCGCTGGAGCTTGGACAGCCATTGCCTGGGGCTGAGATAAAGCCTGAGCCCCGGGATCACCGTCTGGCTGGTTGGACTCCGGCTGGGTGGCTCGCTCTCCTTCTTGAGTCCCAGCTTTTCGAGCAGACTCTAGTGGAGACATGCGAGAAAGCAAACTCTTAAAGATTAGCTTAGTACTAGCCCGTCAAGCTGTGCGTGGCCCGGCCTCCCTGACCGGCAAACCCCTCTCCCTCTCAAACTTATCCATTCTGGCCATTAAGGCCTCGATGTCCTCGGCCAAAACGCCCTCATCCTCCGACGATGACTCGTGAGGAGGGGGGGCGTTTCGCCGGCGTCTTCTTGGCCGGCCCCTGTCCCTTAGAGCCGCCCATGTTCTTCTTTGGCGCCATCCTGAAGGAAAAATTGATGCTGCTCCATCAAATATAGCAAAGAATGCTGGTCTCCTCTAAAATGTCATCAGTTCAAGCTGGAGCTAACCTCAGCAGCTCACTTCCCACCTGTGATCTCCTATCAATGGTAAACAGACTATGAACCTGACTCGGCTTAAGCAAGCCCTATGCTCATGTGGTCTGCCTGATGAACTGTCGCTGACTGATGGGGCCTATTGATCTACTCACATTTGCATATCGCAAAGATATCCCTATCAGAAGCTGGATCTAACAGCAGGAGCTCCCCTCCTTGCGTAATTAACTTTTGTTTTGTTGCTATCAGAAGCTGGATCTAACAGCAGGAGCTCCCCTCCTGGCATAATTTATTTATTTAATTATTTATTTGCTATCAGAAGCTGGATCTAACAGCAGGAGCTCACCTCCTGGCGTAATTTTTTGTTGCTATCCGAAGCTGGATCTAACGGCAGGAGCTCACCTCCTGGCGTAATTAATTTTTATTTATTTATTTATTTATATTTTATTTTTTTGCTATCAGAAGCTGGATCTAACAGCAGGAGCTCCCCTACTGGCGATTTTTTGTTGCTATCAGAAGCTGGATCTAACAGCAGGAGCTCCCGTCCTGGCGTTATTTATTTATTTATTTATTTTTGCTATCAGAAGCTGGATCTAACAGCAGGAGCTCCCCTCCTGGCGTAATTTTATTTTTTTTTATTTTTTTTTTTGTTGGTATCAGAAGCTGGATCTAACAGCAGGAGCTCACCTCCTGGCGTAATTTTTTGTTGCTATCCGAAGCTGGATCTAACAGCAGGAGCTCACCTCCTGGCGTAATTTTTTGTTGCTATCCGAAGCTGGATCTAACAGCAGGAGCTCACCTCCTGGCGTATAATTTTTTTTTGCTATCAGAAGCTGGATCTAACAGCAGGAGCTCCCCTCCTGGCGTAATTTTATTTTTTTTTATTTTTTTGTTGGTATCAGAAGCTGGATCTAACAGCAGGAGCTCACCTCCTGGCGTAATTTTTTGTTGCTATCCGAAGCTGGATCTAACAGCAGGAGCTCACCTCCTGGCGTAATTTTTTGTTGCTATCCGAAGCTGGATCTAACAGCAGGAGCTCACCTCCTGGCGTAATTTTTTGTTGCTATCCGAAGCTGGATCTAACAGCAGGAGCTCACCTCCTGGCGTATTTTTTTTGTTATCAGAAGCTGGATCTAACAGCAGGAGCTCTCCTCCTGGCGTAATTTTATTTTATTTTATTTTATTTTTTTGTTGGTATCAGAACCTGGATCTAACAGCAGGAGCTCACCTCCTGGCGTAATTTTTTGTTGCTATCAGAAGCTGGATCTAACAGCAGGAGCTCACCTCCTGGCGTAATTTTTTGTTGCTATCCGAAGCTGGATCTAACAGCAGGAGCTCACCTCCTGGCGTTATTTATTTATTTATGCTATCAGAAGTTGGATCTAACAGCAGGAGCTCCCCTCCTGGCGTAATTTACTTATTTATTTATTTTGCTATCAGAAGCTGGATCTAACAGCAGGAGCTCCCCTCCTGGCGTAATTTAAATTTTTTATTTATTTTATTTTTATTAGAAGCTGGATCTAACAGCAGGAGCTCCAATTCATTTGCAAAGCTGGTTTAAATCATCAACCAGCCCGCTGCTTGCACTGACAAAATGCCCGACCCGGCCCAGCTCGAGGTTAGCCCAAAATGGCGGCCGCCTCTTCTCCTAAAATGGCCGCCATCAAGTGCAACCAAACCGAAACCGAAACTGGTATCAGGAGGGCCCAGCCGGCATATGAAACCAAAACCTACTGCAGTAATGACCTCACACCAGGCCCACCTGGCAACCCAAGGCCGAGCCCGGCCTAAGCCTCCACGAGCGGGCCTGGCCAAAGGACGAGGAAAGAAGAGGCAGGAAGCGGGAGGGGAGGGTGGGTGCGCGAAACCAGACCCCCGATGAAGCGACCCACAGGCCTTCCTGGAGGAGGGGGTGCCGCCCACCCCCACAGGGCCCCAACACAGACCTGTAGGTATTCTTTTTCCCTTCTGCTTCGTCTGGTCTTCTTTCTTGAGTTCTTCACTCCACTCTCCTCTTCACTCAGATCTTCTCCCAATCTTCAGTCCTCTTTAGTCTGCCTTCACTCTGTCTTCTCTTTTCTTCTTTCTTCCCTTTTCTTCAATCTTGCCTTCTCCCTGGTCGTCGCTGCGTCCTCACTCTCCAGCTTCCAGGCTCAGAATGAGCCTGGGTGGGGGCTGGCTTGTACAAACAGGCCACGCCCCCTAGTCCTCTGGAAGGTTCCATTGGAACCCATCCCTGCCTCGTGGGAGGCAGACAAACCATTTTCTCTCTCCCCATTTCACGGGGAGAGGAAATTTATTGCCTTTGTCTTCTTCTGAGGCTGAAAGATGTGATTTGTGATTTCTCAATCAGTTTCAATGGTTGAGTGGGGATTTGAACCTTGGCCTTTAGAATCCAACACTCCGATCTGCTGGCCATTTACCAAAATTCATGCTTTTTAAGAAAGGGGTATGAATGTATGTGGACTTTGTGGTAAGACTGCCAACTTATATAGAAAAGAATGTAGCATGAATTTTACTTTCTATGTCAGATTGCAAAATGAGAAAAAAATTCAAGCATTTCAAATTTGCCCATCCCTATTGGGAGATAGGGGGTGCTTATGGATGAGTAAATCGTACAATTCAAGCTCATTTAGGTTCTCATCTTTCCACAGCTCAGGCTTCTGTCTTTGTTCCACATCTTACTTTTTAAAGTAGTTAATTATGTATAACTAACTACTGCTGACAATTTTTTTTTACATACAGAAATGGAAAACAGACCGAGACAAAGAAAAAGCAAAAAAAGTGAGACAGAAACAAAACTTGATTCCATGTTTAAACAATTGAGTCTCTGTGCTACAGCTCATAATTATTTATTTAACCAACTTAGGTTGTGTGATGCTAAACAATTAATAAGTATTTCTACCTTTTATATTTCTACCTTTGATCTCCATTTCCTCCAGCATATATTTTTGTAAAACCCTATTAGCATATTATGCTTATTTTTTAAAAAAAAACCTAATTTTTTTTTTATAAGATGGTATTTTTATGAGAGGGACTTCACTTGCTAGCATCACACCATCCCAATTTCCATGTTGTACAGTCCAAACACAGGTGACTGTTCTGTAGATTTCTTTAAATAAATGTTCCACTCATTGTATTTGCAAAGAAACCCACAAAAACATCTCCCCAGTCTGTTTTATTTCTTTTTCACTCTCAGTTAGGGATTTATCTACACTGCAGAGTTAATGTAGTTTGACAATGCAGTTTGACACTACTTTAACTGCCACGACTCAAAGCTATGGAATCACAAGACTTATTATTTTATAAGGTCCTTAGCTTTTTTGCCAAAGATTGCTAGTGCCTCCCCAAACTATAAATCCTGTGATGGCATACTATTGGGATATGATAATTAATTTTTTGTCAAACTGCATTAATTCTATAGTGCATGGTAAGGGATAATGAGTTTTGTCTCAAACGACAGCTTGGAGGCCACAAATTGTCCTGTGCTTAATACTATCTGTGGTCATGACTGCACAATATCTTCCAGAGTTAGCTTCCGTAACAAATGGATATAAAGACACTCTTAAATGATCAAGCAATGGTAATATTTATTTGTTTGTTTGTTTGTTTATGTACATTATTCATATTGCGCCCTTCTCACCCTGCAGGGGACTCAGGGTAGATTACAATGCACATATACACTGCAAACATTCAGTGCCATTAGACATACAACATATATAAACATACAGAGAGGCAATTTAACATTCCAGATTTCCTGCTTCATGAGGGTATACTCATTTTTGGACACAGGGGGAGCTGCCGCTTTATCGCCCACTTGTGTCATCAAATCCTTGATGGAGTACTTCCTCATTCTTGCGCATGTTGGTGGAAGGATTTATGGTGCCGTAAATTAGTTAAATTAACCTCCCCGCAAATAGTGGTACCTAACTTTCCTACTTGGCAGATGCAACTGCCTTTCAGGCTGCATAGGTCAACAACAAGCTATACTATTAATGATCAGGAGCTCACGCCGACCCAGGCTGGCTTTGAACTCATGACTTCTTGGTCAGTAGTGATTTAATGCAGCTAGCTACTAGCTAGCTGCTCCACAGCCCAGAATATGATGAAGTACCTCCTCCTCCTCCTCCTCCTCCTCCTCTTCTTTTTATTTGGGGAACATATTTTTGCAAACAAAAAACAAACAAAAAACAAACTCAACCACCCCAAAATATGAAAATATGATTATTCCAGTTGAACTTTGGTGGTGAGTGGTAGCTAACTGCACTTGACAAAATAGTATTGATTATTTCTAACAGTGATGAAATCAGGTTTATCTCTTATTGACTCCTGCTTTGTTTGATGAAGCTATGTTAAATCAAAGAAGATAATCACTAATTTATTTATTTATTTATTTACCATATTTGTATACTGCCCTTCTCAGCCTGAAGGTGACTCAGGGTGGTTCACAGTTGGCAGCATTTGATGCCTCAACAAGTAAAACACTCATAAAATACTATTTAAAACATTTAGCATAAAATATAAACATATAAACATATAAAAAAACCGTACAAGACATAAAAAATGTGATAAATTGATGCAGATTCTCTTGGAAATATTCATGTTTTAATTAAATAGAAATAAAATAGTGGGAAATAAAGGGAGTGTTTCAAAGGTTTATCATCAGCCATGTTCTGCAAAGCATTCACCCCCCGCTCAGACTCCTTGGTTGATATTATTAGTACCAGTATTGGCATTTGACCTAAATTGTTTATCTGAACATGCAGTCATGCTCAGAACTTCACTCCTAAACAAGATTGCCAGATTAGTGATGCCAGCCCAGCCACTTCAGAAATTGTATAATAATATTACAGTATTTTGAACATATTTCAAGGTGCTTGGTTGGAAGTGCTCTTATGCCACCTAGAGGCAAATCAATCACATTTTGCCACAACATTCCAATTATGTGTAAATTAGAAATACAGTTTCTGTATACAGTAATGGTGTTGAGAGGGGGGAAAAACACTATGGGTAACAGGCATGGCAACAGGCATAACGATTTTGCACCCAGAAGAAGCAAAAGGCAGAATATTAAGTTCCAAAATATATCCAAGATTGTTTGTTTTCTTTTCTTTTGCCTTTTACATGTTTTTAATTTTATTTTCACATTTTTATAACATAAAAGGAAAGGAGGGAGAGAAAAAAGAATGGGAAATAAAGAAAAGTATGATATATAAGCTATGAAGTTTTGTTTGTAAATTAAATCTACACAGGAGTCTATTGTATCACCGGGGGTGTGGAGGGGGAGGGTATTGTTATGCACATTCTCTAGCATATAAAGAGGTTCTGTCTACAATATCTTCTATTCCAAGAACAAGTAGATTCTTGCCATCTGGTGTTCGCATTAATCTTCTGCAGTCTTATATTATCCCATCTTTTTTTAAATCTTTTTCCTCCAAGCCTGCATAAAAGTTCTAATTGTTTTATCAGTTTACATATACTTGCATCCTGCTGAGCTGCAGAACTTGCTGACTGGAAGGTCAGCAGTTCAAATCTGGGGAGTGAGATGAGCTCCTGCTCTTAGCCCCAGCTTCTGCCAACCTAGCAGTTCAAAAACATGCAAATTTGAGTAGATCAATAGGTACTTTGAATCCAATATTCCTGCTTCTTGTCAGGGGGTTGGACTGGATGGCCCATGAGGTCTCTTCCAACTCTATGATTCTATGATTCTACTGCTCTGGTGGGAAGGTAATGGTGCTCCATGCAGTCATGCCAGCCACATGACCTTGGAGGTGTCTACAGAGAACACGGGCTCTTCTGCTTAGAAATGGAGATGACCACATGACTAGACTTAATGTCAGGCGAAACTGTTACCTTTACATATACATATTCAAATTTTCCCCTAGTTTTAATAATACTCATCCATTTATGTATTGTTTGTGTGTAGCACTTGGAGTGCTTCTGTGAGCCACCCCGAGTCCCTTTGGGGAAATTGTGGTGGGGTACAAATAAAGATATTATTATTATTATTATTATTATTATTATTATTATTATTATATACACATCTCAGATCATTGAATTTATATACATTTCTATTATGATTTATACATATTGGTCCATCCATTGTCTTTAATCTTTTGAGTTTTAGAACACAGAATGTTGTTCATTCGTTCAGTCGTTTCCGATTCTTCGTGACCTCATGAACCAGCCCACGCCAGGGCTCCCTGTCAGCCGTCAAAACCCCCAGCTCCTTCAAGGTCAATCCAGTCACTTCAAGGATCCTATCCATCCATCTTGCCCTTGGTCAGCCCCTCTTCCTTTTTCCTTCCATTAGAATACAGAATATATCCATATATTATTCATATTAATTTAGTTTACAAATCCTGTTACGACCATCATCTTCTGATTTTTTATAAAGTCCATAAAAGGTTTTGATTCTTCTTGCAGATTCTGTGAATTAGTTTGTTGTAAAATTAAAGTGAATTTGTCAATTTTGACCATTTCAAAAAATTTTATGATCCAATCATCTATCATTGATATAGGGGTTTTTTTGCTTACATACATTTTGCATATTCCGTGTTTGTTACTGTTGTCATATAAAGGAAGATTCTTTCTTGGTGTTTCAGTATTTGCTTGTCTAATAATCCTAATAAAAAGGTTTCTGGTTTCAATGTTATTTTAATATGATTTCCATATCACTATGACTTTTTATCCAAAAATCTTTAGTTTTTGGGCAGGTCCGCCACATGTGGTAGAAAATTCCTGTCTTTTGTTTACATTTCTAGCATGAGTCCAATCTTTTGTATATCATCAAAAAAATCTGTTATATACTATTTATAAATCATTCTGTAAAAGTTTTCTTTAATGGTATAGCTTTTTGTGAATCATCATTGTTTATTCCAGAGTTCTTCCCATTCCTCTACAGTCATTGCCCTATGTTTTCTTTTGCGCATTGAATCATGGGATCATTTATTTCTTCATCAATTGTGTAGTCTTTCAGAAGATATTTATATATTTTTCTGATTTTTTTGTCTACAGTAGTAGATTCCATTGGTTCTCCAACTCTTATATGCCCCTTTTTTGTCTAATCCAAGTGTCTGTTGGAGTCGATTGCAGTGAAACCAATTCATTGTTGAATCTTCTTTCTATAACTCTTGCAGTGTTTTT